CATAACCCTGTTTTCCTCCCAAATTTACTTCTGAATAAGAAAAAGGGGGGTGATTCTTTTGTGTTTTCATAGAGGTGTGGCAGCATAAGTGACTTTCGTACTGTACTCCAGCCTGTGCATCTTCAGTCTGACCTTTTCAAGACCAAGCTGGTTTTGCTTGCAGAACCAGAAAAGACAGTCCTTCCCCTCTTACCCATATAAGTATAAGCAGCTTGTGGTTTTATTGTGTAAAGCTGTATATTTTGTTCCAGTATCAGCACAACACAACTAATAATATCAAGAAAAATTGTAAGAAACAGGCTTGCTATGAAAGATGGCTTGTTCTTTGCTGTGACCCATGGCAAAAATAGAGATCACTATGTGCAGATTCAGTTCCCTAAGTATGGACATCTAGGGCTGTTTGGGATGTGTAGGGGTATGCAGGACAGATGTCTGTGGGGGACTGGCTAGCAGGACTTGGGCAAACCTTGGTCATTCTGGAGAAGCAGGTGGAGGCCAAGTGGCATACCCCCTAAACATAAACATAAACCAGCCCTGTAGGTGTGTGCCCAGGCAGCTGGATCATGGCTTCGTTTTCTGGCGATGGAAATGAGAACCAGGCAGACTGAAGGCAGTAGTGACAGATTTGCTGCAACACCAGCTCACAGCAGAGGAAGCCAAGCCTGGTGGGCCAGGGTCTTTAACTGCAGGAGCAGAACGGTACGTGAGGTTGGAACTGATAGCAACGTGATTCTAAGGACAACCAGATGTATCAGCTGAACAGTATGATAAAGCTATGCAAGTTATACGAGGTATTAGATTGCTGACTTTCGGAGGCAGCAGCCATCTTTACAGCCTTCATTTGTCAAGTGCCTAACATGCTGGGGTCTGGGGGCAAGATTGCAGCTCTGTGACTGCTACAGTTTTAAAAGCTGTTTTTTACTAGTGGAAGTGCACATTCCCCAAGGCAGCAGACTACAAAACTTAAGCTTACTGGGAAAGTATGATAGGAAAGATCTTATGCTCATATCAAGGGGGATGGAGCTTTCCTTGCCACAAACATCATAGTGTACATGCCAAAAGATGAAGATCAGAAGATGAATCATCTCTGAAACAGTGCCTTAAATCCTCCCTGTCTCCTTTTGGCTGATGAAGCCATTTTGCTGTTCTTGTTTTAAGTTTTGTCAGATGCCCCTCAGCATCTCTCATGTCTTAAAGAATCTCTTCTCATGCCCAAATTATCAAATCTGCCACACTCACATGGGTATATTGCAAAAAGTTGCCTGAGGCAACATGTAGCCTACTTTGCATGTGGACCTTGCAAAATGTGGGGCTGAACAATTCAACTATTTTATTGAAAAGCCACTAGAACTCTTAATGACATGCCATGGGGCTCAGCAGATCCCACAGAACCACCCAGGAACCCCCATCTGCATGTAGTACTTGTGGTAGTAGCCATTCTGAAGGAGGCTGAATGTGGTGGCCAAACAGTGATGAAATAGTAATACTTGTTTCTTGTGTGTTTAAAGATCTAAGAATTCATTACATATGTTGAGAGACAAGACCTGCCCCAGTGATAGTTCAGAGAGATGATTCTGAAAGCTTTTCTCAAGTGACAGTGTAGGATCTCCTAAGAAGCACAAGGTGCTCCTTTTTTAAAAGAAGGCATCTGCTGCTTTGAGTGAACATGCTTGCTGCACATCAGTTGCTCAAATACATCTTTTTAGGGGCACAGCTGCTGCTCAGGATATTGGAATTTCCTTATTATGTTGTCCTGTACTAGCATGCCAACATAGTATGTCCGAAATAATTAATCCTCACAGTAATTGTCAGCTGATGGCAGAACTAAGACAGATGTCTAAGGTGTACTGCTGGTTTTCCTGTTTTGACAACTCTATGCCACTTTCTTCATACATGGTATGAGTTCATCTCTGAAGCATCTGTGATTTCTAGAAAGATAAGCTGCGGAAGATGGTTGTCTCTGTAATACTTTGGAAACCTCAGAGTATAAGAAACAACCAGAAGGTCAACAAATGTATGTTGTGAGATACAGACCAGCAGGATAACAAAATTATCATGCACCTAATGGAAAATAAAACCAGTCATACTAGAAACAGTAGCGTTTTCTCATCCTGCAATTCAGATACCTGCATGTTGGGCAACTCCCATGAGTTCTATGTTGAAAACAGTGTGGGCATTGAATTGGTGCTGCACAGGTAGTTCTGCAGCTGCGCTGGTGCAGTGTCTTTTGGATGTGTACCCCTTTCCTCTGTCCTTAGCCTGATGTCTTCCCATGACTCTGGCCACCAGCCTGCACTGCGGATCTGCTCTGGCTTGGGACTGTGCACTCCTGAGTGGAGTGTGGCATGTCCTGGCCAGAGGGGCAGGGAGGAGCGGGGAACCCTCTTGCAGGGTGTTACTGTTCTTTTTAAAAAAAAAAAAAATTGCCTGCTTTTGTTAGAAAGAGTTTAGCACTCAGTTCGGCATAATTCTTTGAATTGAAAAATTAAAAGTAACAGTTCTCTCGGGCTAGAAATTAAAGACCCTTGTGCTTTTCATCTTTTAAGCATTTAGCATAATAAAATCTTGTATCAGGGATTTTAATATTATCTTTGTGGCTTCTCTTTTCTTTTTTTATCATCACAGATATAGTAGAACATCTGTTCTGTTTCTTTGTTCAGCTTAGCAGTACTTCAGTATTACCAGATAATTTTTCTCTTGGAAATTTTTTAAATTAAATGCTGACAGGAATTTTTTTTTTAAATCACAACTAGAATTAAAATGATATTATTTTGTGTGTGTGTATGAGCGTGTAAAGCTATGAATATGTATGAGTGCTGGTATGTATATAACTTGACTGCGTATGTGTCCTGGTTTCAGCTGGGATAGAGTTAATTTTCTTCCTAGTAGCTGGCATAGTGCGGTGTCTTGGATTTAGGATGAGAATAATGCTGATAATACACTGATGTTTTAGTTGTTGCTAAATACTGCTTATGCTAGTCAAGGACTTTTCAACTTCTCATGCCCTGCCAGCAAGAAGCTGGGAGGGGCACAGCCAGGACAGCTGCTCCAAAAAGGGGCTATTCTGTACCATATGATGTCATGCTCAGTATATAAACTGGGGGGAGTTGGCCAGGGGGCAACGATCGCTGCTTGGGGATGAGCTGGGCATCGTTTGGCAGGTGGTGAGCAATTGCATTGTGCATCACTTGTTTTGTATATTATTATTACTGCTATTATTATTATTATTACTACTACTATTTTACGTTATTTCAATTATTAAACTGTTCTTATCTTAACCCATGAGTTTTCTCACTTTTACACTTCTGATTCTTTCCACCATCCCACCAGGGCAGGGGGAGTGAGTGAGTGGCTGTGTGGTGCTTAGTTGCTGGCTAGGGTTAAACCATGACAATATGTAGAGGCTGTATAAACATTTTGGAAAATATTATCAGTTGTAATTCCTTATGGAACAGTGTTCTAGATGACTTGTTTTGGCTAGTCTTCAGCACAAGCATAAATATGCTCTGATATTATTTCCAGTTAAGATGATGGTCTTTGTAAAAACAGGTTGCAGGGTAATGTCATGCTTAAAAGTTGAAGTAAGAAAACCTAAACTAAAAAGCATTTACGAAGCTAATCATCAATATTGAGACAGTTATTTATTCAACAGGATGGATCTAGAAATTCCCCCAAAAGTCAGGTAAACAGCTGTTGCATGAACTAGATGATCTGGGTCGATTCCTACTGCCCTCATCAGACACGCAGAGATGTTGGCAATCAGGGGAGCGCCCCATAGATCTCATATTGGAAGTACAGTTTTTCTCTAGTAGAGGTGGTAACTTCAGAAGAAATTTCTGATGTCATATTTTATCCTCTGGAAGCTTAGGAAGTTTTTGATGTGGTGCCTCAATGGGTACACCAGGGAACCGACATTAAACTGTGGCTGGAAAGCCCTCAACCTCTGCCCTGGCTGGCAATGTCAAAAATCTCAGCTTCCAAGAAATGAAGCCCTTTGTTTCATGTTTAAAGAGCAGCTGGCTGAAAATGGTAAAGAAATTTCAGATAAAGTTATATCTGAGCTAAGCAAGCTAACACTAAGAAGCAAAAAGCTGGCCTGTGGACAGATACCTCCCAGCTTTGTTGTGCCTGTCAGAAAAGTTATGGCTTTCAGGTGTCTCTCTTCTCACTGCACCTGCTCCCTTGCTCGTGGTTGGCCTCAACAGGGTCTGCTGGTTATCAACCCTTCTCAACCCAATGTTGTTAAATGAGGTCAGCTGGCAAAGGCTGACCATCTATTGGGGGCACCATGGGAGTCGATTGGCTGGGTTGGTGACTGCTGGTGGTAGAGTGTTGCCGAGCGGTAGGGAGCAGTAACCTCTGCCACTGGCACACTGGTGGGAAGGGTTGTGCATGTCCTTGGCTTCACTAGAGAAACCTAATGTAATATTTATTTGGTATGTTGTGTAAGCTATTGGGAGAACTCCCTAGGTATTGGGATGTCTGAGGTGGCGAAACATGTTGTTAATTGGTGGATGTACTTTGATTAGTAATAAGCTTAAGGACGGAAAGTGTGTTAACTTTTGACCTGACTCCAGTGAACTTGCATGCTGAGGATAACATATACGTCAAGGCAGGATTCTGCTATGTATATTTTTTTACAATTCATTAGGTCTAGATAGTGTCTTCTGGAAGTAGTCATTATTTAGGTCAAAATAGGTGGATATCTGGTATCATTTAAACTGTCAGATACTGATTTTGCATTGCTATAGGTGTTCACTACCTGTAACTTCATAGTATGAAATAACGTGATGGAACTGTGCAAGTGCAGACATAAATGTGAATTTTACCTGTTGTAATTAATTTGAGTTTGTAAATTTGTGGTGAAAGTGAATAAATTGGAAAAGCTATGCCAAGGTGTATCTGAGGTATATCTATATGTTAAAAGATAACTGTGTTAATGTGAGTGTGAATGCTCTGGTATAAATGGGGATCTTTTATTTTTGCATTTATCTGTGCAGGTTCGAAAGCATGTGAATGACCTATATGAAGACCTAAGAGATGGACATAACTTGATCTCACTTTTAGAAGTCCTTTCTGGAGACACCTTGGTAAGCTTTTAGATCAGAATGCAGTGGTTCCAGTTTGTTATATTTACATTTACTCTGTTTGTTAACTCTGAATATTGACTGCTGGAGATTTCTTTGATATTTTTCACAATCTGTGACTTGATACCAAAGACACAAGTTGTATTTCTGTTGGTAAAATATTTCACTGTGAATTCTGTGGGAGAATGCAATCCATTCTCTTAATTTCTTGCAGTCAGTGAGACTTCCTTTCTTATTAGGGTGATGCGCTATTTTTTCTGTTCTTCCCTTTTCTTTACAATTTTTCTTTTAACAAGTATTGGATGCTTAATATCCCTTCACATTAAAGGGAGTAACTTACAAATAGCGAGGATAAAATGTCCCTGAAATTGTCTAACACACTCCTCAGGTGTCATTTCCTTTCTTTGTGAGCATTACTTCCCTTGCTTGGTATTTGTTCTCTTCATTATGTTCTTCTTTTCATGCTCTTCTTTTCATTTGTGGTCTGTCTTGTGTCTTTGCTGTCCTGTCTCCTGTCTGTTATATTCATTAGCCAAGAGAGCGAGATTTTTTGAAGACCTTACGGTTGGTGAGTTCAACAGAAGCATGCGCAAATGAACAGCATGAGGATGTGGAGGATGAGGATAAGGGGGTAGGTGCCGACCCCCATAACTGTACTAACGTAGTGTTTGAAGTGTGGTGTCTGCTAATGTAAATCCTTAGTTTGGTGTGCCACAGTAGTGTGCTGTAGAAAGGACAAAAGAACTCATGTTAGCAAACCAGGACATGTATGTTTATAATGGAGGTATGGTAATGACAAATTTTCATTCAGCCTTTTTGAGAACAGCTAAAACACAAAGGTTTAAGATTTCTATTTGTTTTCCTTCATTAAACTGTACAAAACCATAGTGCTAATGTGTACTGGACAACATTATGAAGATCTTATAGAACAATTTTTTTAAAATAATAAGTAGGGAAATACTGCAATTCCATTAAACCAAGATTTTTTTACTTGCAATTGGTATTGCCTACATACGAGCAATTTAGACAAAGGCTGGAAGGCTCTTCATAGTGAAGTCAATGGCAACAACTTAATTTGTCTTAATTAGAAGCATCAGTCTACTGCACCCATGATGCATGTGACATAATATTGGGTAATATTTTGAAATGAGGTAATTTAGATGTGCAGATCTGTTTCTTAGAATTTATCAAATACAATAGTTACTATTTTTTTCAACGCAGATACGCAAAGTAGAAGTTCATGACAGCTCTGTGTAGTGCCTTGGGTCCTGAGTATATGGATTGTTTGCAGGGTTTATCTTTCTGGCAACAAATGCTGAATTATCATTTCACTGTATTTTAGCTATCCAGAAGGGAAATATTTACTTATGAAGTGTTAAATGCTGAGTGCTTGTTAGTCCAAGTGAGCTGTTTCATGCTTTTGTAGACATCACATTATTAGTGTTTGCTAAAGCAACTTGCTGTCATAGGGCCCGAGTGCCTTCCTGGCTCCCTCTGTGTTGTGCTGCAGTTGTGATTTCAGTGGAACTTGTGTGCTTTTTTTTTCTGGGGTGTAACATAACACAAAACGCTGCATTTAAGCTGTACATTGGAAAAAATATTTCCCCTCTGAGATGCTGTACCTAAATACATAGTTTGGGATTTATTGTACCCTCTTTGTTGTGGAAAACCAAGTTCCAGGTCTGCAGTCCTTCGTTCCATCCAGGGAAGCTACTCAGTAGCGAGGGCTGCAGGGCTTGATCCTGGGCTATGGGTGTGAAAAACAAGGGGCTAATTTGAGGGCTCTATAATGAAAATTAAAATTTGTTGTGTTTTAGTTTGTGCTTCTTATTCAACTCCATTTTCCCACGTTTCCTTTTGGCAAGCATCTGATACTCCACAGGGGGGGTGAAAAAAAGGCAGTTGAGGAAGGCTTGGGCTTGTATCTGTGTGTTTCGCAGTGACTGACTGAGGAAATACTCATATTTGTGGCTGACCTCTAGCAATTATAGTCCGCTTCAGTTTATTGCTGTGAAAGTTTGTGAAAAATCTGAAATAAGGAAGAAGAATAGAAGGATTTGGATATTATGGTGGTGATGATACAAATTTAACTGCTTTCCCATTTGCTGATCAGTGACAGCTAAGTAAAGTATGTTTTTTCCGTGTGATTCTTCTTCTTGGTGATTTTACACTAACTGCATGCAGTTTTGCCATGTTTCCATTAACACACCACTCATGCTTATTTTACAGTTTCTTCTTGCTAGTTTTGACTTTGCTTTGAGAAGAGTGACTTGTTAGGTTTTTTCATGCTTTATAATGTTCTACCCAAGTCAAGAGTTTAAGCCTACACTCTAGGGCTGTATATGTTGTATTATATTGTTTGGAGGAAGGTATTATCTTTATTAAATACGTTAAATAAATATGTATCAGTATCATAATGATTATGCAGTCATACCATAAATAAACAACATTAAATCATAAGGTTGCATACAGAGGTAAGCTTTTCCATCACAGTTTACCAGAGCAGCATAAAGATCCATGACATTACTTATATTTTGCTTTGCTTAATATACTGTAAATCTTTTAGAATAATATATTGCAGTTTGTTTCTGTAGGTAGATTCATGTAGGGCCTATTTAGTCCTCTTGGCTGAAACAGTACTTTACAGGGCAACGGCTAGCAGCCTGCATGGATCAAAGCTGCAGTTTGGGACCACTGATCTCTCTTGCCATCCACTGTGCTAAAAAATTTCAACTACAGGTTTAAAAAAAAAAAAAAAAATTTTTAAAGACACTTTTCCACCAAAGGTATTGGCTTCATTAAAACTGTAGTGTTTCAAATAATTTACATGGTATGTTTTAAATTGGACTGTTTGTTCTTTTGCCTGGTGAGAAAATCTCACAACTATTGTTTTCCAATTTTAGCCCCGAGAAAAAGGTCGGATGCGTTTTCACAGACTCCAGAATGTCCAAATTGCACTTGACTATTTGAAAAAACGCCAGGTATGGTAAAAATTTTAATTAAAAATGTTAATGGGAATTTTGTCACCTGTAGCTAATAAAAAAAAAAAAAATGTCCTGCTTGGTCTTTTATGCATGTTGTATAACAGCTGCTGGTGTTGAGATGGTTAAGAGAGATGTGGCAAAGGTAACTTTACACCACCCTTCTCTGAGCAATAACATCAACACACTCCATGTGGTATATGATGTTAAAGAGGAGAAAATTATGGGTAAGATCCTCAGGAGTTGCTTATAGTAGATTTAACTATCTTTTGTGCTGCCCAGACACTAGCTGGTGTGCAGTTTTGTTCACAACCTAATTCTTATTGCAAAATGCGGATTCAAAGAAATTAGAACATTGTGTGTGGGGTTCCTTGTTTTGATTATATTTGTTTTGGTAAAACTTTCTCAAGCCTTGATCCTGATGAAAGCAAAACTGGTGCCCTATAAAGGCAGCAGTCACCCGGGCTGTGGAAGATTCAGGCTTAATTTTACCTGAATCTCCTTTAAGCTGAACACTCAAAACCCATACTGCTCTGAATTTCTTTCCACTTTTAAATTTCTTCTAAACACTTACAGGTTCTTGCTTTTTCCCTTTGTAAAATGGCAATATTAGAAAATGTCCAAAACATGGATAGAAGGAAAAACTGTACCCTCCCTATTCATCCTATCCAAATGAGTTGACACTGGAAATCTGCTTTCTGATTGGTTGATTTTTTTTTTTTAATTCTATTTGCTACTTAAAAGGTTTGAAAAAAAATACAAGGTAGCAAACCATAGACAGATATTTAATTTGGTTATAAAAACATATCTTTTTCATATTTTAAGTGAAAGTACCAACTGTTTTTGGGGTCACTGGGCGATGTGTGCACTGAGAACTCCATCCTGCCTTGCTGAGTTCAAAGCGAACTTTTCCTGTTAACCGAAGCGAGCCATTGAACAAGTACGCTACAAAGTAAATGACTGGCTATTTGAAATGACAGTCACAATGGCGTTTTTATGCAGCAAGACCTCTGGACTTGTGCTGCAGCATGCCTTATTTATGCATGACAGACCGTGCATATGAAAACCCAGGTGATGTAGGATCAGGTCATCCTCATGTTTATGAACATGCACATGTCATTGGGAACCGCATGTCTCCATCAGGCAGCTGTTGATTATGATTTGACGATTTTTGTGCTCTCTTTAGCCTCGCAGCTGTGTGAAGATGGCTGTACTCTAGTGCACAAAATGCTTGTAGGGCTTTGGTGGTCTTGGCAAGTTGCCAGTGGGACATGCATTTGATTAAAGTTTCAGCCCTCTTCTAGGTGTTTCTGAACCGTATTTAGGAGGTAATTTGCTCAGGTTGGCTGTATAACCTCCAAATACTATGCTTTATTGTGATTGTAAGGCAGAGAGATCCTGTATATTGATAATTTTGTAGCCTGACTTGGGAAAAAACAAACTAAAAAACCCAAAGATAAGGTATATTTGACTATCTTGTAGAGTTTTGCCAAGCATAAACAGTTTTTATAATGCAGTGGGAGGAAAACATTTGGATTTGTTTTTAATGTCTTTTTTTAAACTGTGGAATACACTCTGATACTTCCGGAGAGAGTGTTTTTTGTTTGTTGCCTACTGCCCCCCCGC